GACATCAATCGCGCGTTAATACTAAATGGCAATCCTTCAAAATTATTTTGGTACTCATCCCGCCGCGCTACTCACAGAAAACGATATTTCATCATTCACTACAAGAGAGGAGAAATAGAGACTATCGTTTATATATTGTGAAAAGTAGACAAATTAAATGATCCAAAGAGCGTGCGTTTTGCAGAATACTTTTGAATTTTTAATCTTTCAAAATAATTTTGGAAAAATTCGAGAATTATTCTCTCTTATCTCGTATTTGAAACATACACATTAGCATAATATAATTAAATATTAATTGCAAAATAGAAGAAAAAGGTTGCTTTAAAGTGTAACTTGTCGCGATGCTCGATGATAATTCATCGAGTATATAGATTTTTTGTCTCTTCGCTATGACAAGATCGAGCGACAAGCGATTTCTGACAAATTTTGGCGCGGCACGCAATATATGCATGCTGTAGATACGCATTCATCGAGACACACACACACATTCGACAGCGTGTACGTGACTTCTGACATTCACATTCTCGTGAATCGAGCCCGACTTGTTTATCATGATCGGAAGCTGAAAAGTCGAGTTGTTCGCTAAGAGCGAAAAGGAGAGCGGGGGCTGGCACTTCATTAGGCAATAATGTATCACGCTGATCGCGATAGGGAATGTTGAATTTTTTATTCGCTCGCGTTACAAGATAAATAGTATACAAACTAATAGGAAAGAACACTCACTTTGATTATGTAGTACATCTTCTTAATTAGACTGTTTGACGGCAAAAAATCATCGTCGAGATAGAAGTTGAGAACGCAACGGTTGAAACGGAGATAAATAAAAGCTTAAAATGATTGCGTATTTCTCTATCGATATGTTACTTAATCATCTTACTTGCTGACGCAAGCAATTGTTCGATCATTAGAGTGAACCGTTAAATCCTTGAATCACAGAATATTGTTTGCGGCAATTATGATCCCGCTGATTGCAAGATAATTAGTCGGCTTGTTTCATTCAGCTGACGTGCGAACGCGAATAGCGCTGAAATTTAGAGAAAAAGCCGATGGAATATTTGTACGTTTCTTTAGTTTCAGAATAAATAACGATAAGCAGCTGTGATAGCGTCAGCATATTACATAGAACGCATATTAATGCGCGCATCAATGCGTACATTCATTTTTACAACAACGATTTAATTATTATCTCTAGATTAGTATAAAAAATTTCTGCCTTAAAGCAATTTACTAAAGTTTTTTTAACGTAAATAGCTCAGAAGTCATTTATATCTGAAGATTAAAGAGCAATTTTGTTGTTGCCATTTTTTTCGAATATCATCTCTCATATTTCTGATTAAAGAAATTTCCGAACAATCTGTTTGATGAATATATTCGTACAAAACTTATATAACTGGCAATAAAAAGTGGAGCTGTTAAAGTCCTAGAAAATAAATTGAAAGAATGAAAGAAATTTTTATAACATTTCCCAATTGTTGATGTCTGATTGTAACGCTTTCTTCGTTCGTTACATAAATCATTTTTTACTCAGACCTTTTTAAAGCCATTCGTTATGTATGCAGGAATATTCGTCCGAATGCGTAGGTGAGCGGGGATCATCAGGTGCGAGCGGAGACGCACCCCTTTTTAAGTATTTCGGTGGCTTACAGTGATGTCGTTTTTCGGCGATAGCGTAGGTCGAATCGACGAGACGAACCGATGATGAACCGAGTTAAAATCTCGCGTAAATCCCTGTCGTACGCGTGTCTGCATACGCACACGCGCGCATACGCCGCGGCACGATTGTGCTGGTGTTTCGTGCGCGTAGCAAAGCGAGGGAGTCTCGAAGGCGGTCTTTAGTTTCGGTTAAGCATTCGTCGAAGAGAGAATACATCTCACTCTCGTCTCCACCTACGTCGCTTTTCTCCGCCGAGTCACGCCGGGTGCGCGAGATTTCGGCTTCTTCCGGCTTAAAGTTTTAGCATCCACCCACACCATCGTTCACCGGGAGGGAGAGCGTCGCTCAAAGGACTTCCGTTCACCAAACAATATGAGCCGTCGTCATTTCGAGATCGAACTGGGTCAGAATTGCGAAAGAGTTTGGCGATGGAAATCCGGGAAATCTAAGAACGGTGCACAAGGATCTAGATTGGAGTAAACAGGAAAATGTGAAAATCGCGACTCGTTTTCCCTTTACGTGTTACGCGATATTGCGCGTGATGTGAACGTTGAAGTGATTTATCATCGTCCACGGCCAGTTTCTCGTGTTTTTTATGAGACCTCATCAATGGATAGGTCTTATCAAGATCCATGGTGCATTCGCAGGGACGGTAATACTCGAGGATTCCTCTAGTCAGAGCAATGCCGATACAATTAGCGCGTTGATGATAATTGCCACCTCGTAACAGAGGAGAGAGAGTGCAAAGTGCAGCGAACGAGCGTAAGCGAATTATTTCCTCCGACTCGAGGGTGGTTTTGCATTCGTTTGTTTACTTGCACGCGCGCGCGATGAACGGACGAAAGAAAAAAGAGACGAGGAAAAGGGGTCTTACCATTCCGGAGACGCTAACAAGTAAGATATGTTTTGATCTTGCACGTAGAATAAAAAAATAAGTTTTTTATGTTTTACAAATTCGATGTAGACTCTTTCTCGAGAAAAGTATCACATCGCTGATGAATATTAATATCAAAAATAATAATTACGGTGCGAATTTATGAAAAAGGAAGGAGCAAGGTGTTTCTTGAAGGAAAATATACAATCTAATATTGTATCTTATTGTAATTAAATTAACGCTTATAAAGATTTGGAAGTTTGTTTTGATATACACGTTTGCTTGCGCTAGAAATCTTCAAAGCTTCTTTTGAGAAGTCTGAGTACACACGGCAGCTTGTTCCCCGTCTCATTGGGTTAATAGATTCGTGGAATGATCAAGAGTTGTCCAATTTGTATTCAAATTCAATTAGGTCTGTTGCATATAATTACCAAGAATCTACTAAATAACTGGTGATAACGATATAATTATTACTTCACAAATTATATTTGACTGTAAGAAATCATTGATTGCTAGAAATCGTTAAAGTGATAAGTGTTCTAGCGATGTTTCATAAAATAATACTATTTGAGATAAGTTTCAATGAGAATATTTCTATATATTGCATTTCTCTCTTTACTTTATTGCAAATTTTAAATAGGGATTATATTAACATTAAATAACATACAGATTACGTAATTATTTTAAAAATGAATAAAATATTCAATTGTTCCTATGGATTTTTACCTTTCATTTTTTTATGAAAAACTTGGAGAAACTTTTTGATCAACTCAATAATTTATTGAGAGAATTATATGTATATCAAATATTATTGAAAGAACAAATTTGTATATATAAAAAAAACTAGTTGACAAGATAAGCAAGATCTATTAAACTTATCTATATCAAATAAGTTAGATATTCTTCTGAAAAGAAATTAGAAACGAATCCCGGTTTTCTCCTCTCTAGTCTTATCTCTAATATCGAGTACACTTTCGACCTTTCGATAAGTCTAGTTCAAGAAGATAACAGCATACGTACAGTTTGTAAGTTTAAAAAGAATGCCAAAACTAATTGACATTTTGTAATATCAGTTCTAATTATAACTTTGCTTTTGTAATTAATAATGAAATTTATTTTTAAAAACTTTTCTTCGATAATACGATTTCATTATTAACAGTAAATTCCTAATAAATTATTTTACTTATTAAATTTATCAGAATCTTTTAGAAAGTTTCATTGCTCGCAAATTATTCTGTTTATATTTATTTGTATTTGTATATTGTTTGACGAGCACCCCGCGATCTACCAAACTCATTTGACTCTTTCATGAATCGTACATTTAGGCGGGATGGGGCGTCCGCACATATAATGCCTCTATTGTAGTCTATAGGCCTGAATTTGCAAATAAACGCGTCTCAGTACACGTGGTTGCATTGAAATTTCCAAATTTATCGTCAACTACCACCATACAACCGAAAGACAATATGTCTGATTCAATTTGGATCGAATGTCACTATTGTCTGTTGTCTTTTTGTTCAATCAAAAGCTACCGCCAGCTTGCCAAATGGCTATTGTTAAGAAAATATACTACCCAGCTAAATATTTGAATTAGATATCTGTATCTAGAATTTTCATATCAATTTTGATGAAATTATTTTTCAAAAAAAAAATTGGCGATAATAGTTTTACGAATGAGATGTAAAATGGAGAGCATTTTGCAGATCAAAATGCGCGCTTTCTTCCAGTTATTTGAGTTCCGAAAAATTAGCGTGTTGCATGATTTTGCATTATATCATAATTATATACCGAAGGCATGTGTATCTCGCTGCGAAGCATAAACTAAAACAATTCTCCGCTAACTTTACTACGCCGATACTCACGCGTGCTATCGAGGGTCAGTCGGCGGAGCCAATAGTGGTCTCTAAGTCGCGCGTATAATGGCAAAGAGCAGAGGTCAGTAATAATGTAGTATAAATACGAAAATCACAATAATTGGAGCGGCATAATTGATTGCGGGCGACAGTTTTTAGAACGAAATTGTAAAAACGATACGCCGGAATTTTCCGGCGATCGCTCTTCTTTCGAAATGCGGTTTGCTGACGTCAAACGTCGGTGCATTGCCTTCGTTGAGGGAGGTATGAAGGGGAGACCATCTCCGCAGATGCATTTCTGTTATAACGCAATGCCTACGAATCGCTTTGCGTTGGCGTGCGCTTTATTTCAACGCCGCTCGCCGCGGCGAGCGGCTGAGCATGCCGAATGCGCGACACCGATCTCGCTCGAGAAACGGACGATTTCATAAATACGGGAAATCGCTCTCTCAAGTAGCGGCGATACTTCGGCAGGCAAGGAATACGGGGCGATAATAGGTACACATAGCGAGACTCGTTGTCGGAGAGCGCTGACCGCAGAGATAACGCTCTGACCCGTTACAAGCTCCACGAGTACCAAATGAATGCCTTCACTGTCTCTATCTTCCTGTGCCCAATCCAAATATGCAGCCCTTTTTCTTCCCTAAGCTGCCCTTTACAGTCCGTTTGCGATGGTCCTGCGAATCCGACAGCGATCTCTTTGCTTCTCGGCGCTGACCGACGCCGCGGCGGCAAAACTTCGTCTGCCACTGAATTTGCATTAACGCAGAACACTGAAAATCTGCGCTGCATTTTTAATTCTTCATTTTTATATGATGTTTTATTTTAAGAATCATTCGAAAATAAAAAATGTCACAAGTGTCACCAAAAAATGTCGCAACTTTTTATCTTAAAACAGAAAAGATCTGTTTCTTTTTGCAACGTTACGTTTGTTTCTTTAGGGAACTTCAAGTAAATAAGAAATAATTTATTACCTTTTTTTTAGTTTGTCGATTCTGAAAGACACACATTGCAAAATTGAATTGTTATTATTGATTTTGATCAATAAATTTATTTCAATTTACAAATCACGATAAATGATATACTTTGCATAAACACAGCCGTAAATTATAAAAGACTTGTATTAATTTTATTATATTAAATCAAATATTTTGTAGAAAGCACTTAGGAATATTATTTAGTCACCGGAAAATGTAAATCCGCCACCGAAGAACATAAAGGATAATGTAACTAATCTTATTACACATTTTTCAGCAACCAACCATCCAGTCGGAGTGTCGACAGAATTACCGCTGATCGACAGCATCGAAATCACAGAATGCAAAAATCAACCGCACATTTGCGGAAATGAAGCAGCGTGTCGCAGCTTACCGGACAACAAATCGAAATGTGTGTGTCCGCACGATTTGACATTACCGACATCGGACTTAAAATGCCCACATCGTTCGATTGGTAAATATTCAATTATTGTATCGCAAATTATTTACGATGTAATAAAGACAAAATCGATATTGTGTATGCAATTAATGTGCAACATAATTTTCAATTCATAATGTGCAATAAAATTCATAATTTTTCAGTTCCTCCGTCGCCCCGACCTATACATAATATAATTCCACCGAAGTACAATAATGTTACAAATAGTACGAGTGAGCTACCGGAAGCTGAGCAGGTAATCTTTATTGCTTACAAAAATTCAAATATTGCACAATTAATGTCTGTTTAATCTGAGAATAAATTTGAAATCAATTTAAATTGATAAATATTTTTTTTATCGATGCAACAGGTGGAAGGGTCGTTATACAAAGTACCTGAAATAATAGGAATAGCTGTAACTTTCGTCATGGTAATAGTATTTTTATTCGGCATAGTGTACGCTGTGAAAAGACGAAGTCATGTCAAATCGCAGAGAAATTCTCTCGATGTAAGTCATCGTACTTTTGCATGAAAATAATATTAATCTTAAGACGATGTTATCATGATATTATATTTTATCAAATCTTTTCATTAGGGAACTCCAATAAATCTGAAGAAGGGATTATTAGGGCATAAATACACGCTTAATCCCCAATACTTCACCCCCTGCACGTCTCCGGAAGTTTTAATCATACAACGTGAAAGCCTTGTATTTCTGCATGACATCGGCGAGGGGTGTTTCGGAAAGGTTTACAAAGGTACGAAATCATATAAACTAATCAACAACTTATTTCAATACATTTTTGTGAAAAAATGAATAAATTATTAAGAATAAACTGAAAAGAATAGATTTCTGTGAGATTAGATGTCTAAAAATTGATTAAAAAATGTTTAATTAAATCTATCTTGATTTTCAATATACCAATGTTATTGTTAGAAAAGTAATCAAATACTTAATTTATTATAATTTCAGAAAATAAATTTTTGTTAACATTTTAATTTATAAAGTTTTTAATTTTATTTAATAATATTCAAAAATTCTTATAATAAAAACTTTTATAGGTGAATGGCACAATGGAGACACAAAAGAAATTGTCGCCATAAAAGTTTTAAAGGACACTGCAACACGCGAAACAGAAGAGGACTTTATGCGAGAAGTTGACATTATGTCCACGTTCGGTCATACGAACATTTTATCTTTGAAGGGCATGGTACTTCGAGATTCGAGAACGAATAATCCATGGATGGTGTTCGAATACATGCCATACGGCGATCTTGCCGAGGTATTGCGGGCAAGCACGCCGCAATTGAAATCGTTAAAACCTGGACTACAACCATTAACGAAGGTACTGTCGTATTACAAGGAGTAGTCATGATGTTTTTTTTTCAATACTTTGAATACGACGAACACTGAGATTCCATATTGTGGAATTCTAATGTTTCTATCTTTACAGACAATACAAATGCCGTCGGTGGAATTTTATCGATAACTCAATAATGGAATATTTTTTATAGGATTCGCTGCACTGGATTTCGGTTCAGATTGCAGCCGGCATGACTTATTTATCGGCGCAACGATTCGTGCATCGTGACCTGGCGTGTCGGAATTGTCTGGTGGGTTCAGGCTTAGTGGTGAAAATCGCTGATTTCGGCATGTCACGTGATATCTACACCTGCGACTATTACAAGATTGGAGGCTCGCGCCTGCTACCAGTCCGATGGATGTCACCGGAAAGCGTGATTTACGGGCGTTTCACGTTAGAAACTGACATCTGGAGTTTCGGCGTTGTTCTTTGGGAAGTTTTCTCATATGGCAAGCAGCCTTATTACGGCCACACAAACGAAGAAGTGAGAAATAAAGAATTTACGAATTACATATAAATTAAGTTTCTATTCAAACACATTTTCCCCAACATTTGTTTCAGGTTGTTAAACTCATACTTCAAGGAATTATGCTTATGCCGCCGGAGGAGTGTCCGCCTGTCATTTGCCAGATAATGCGCGACTGCTGGAAGACCGATCCGCGGGAACGAATTAAATTTCCCGACATCCTGGACAGATTGGAAAAAGCGGGCAAGTTGACCCAGCAAGAGACACTACCTAGACCACCACAAGGCCCGGTGACGATACGTACTCCAGACGTTTTGGATCCGGATGGTTACTTGCTTCCAGCGCCCACGACTCCTCGCGAATACCTGCAAGCTCTTCCAACTCTGACCATTTAATGACATATTTATATGGCAGCAATCTCGGAACTTCATCTCTCGAAGTGCGCATGAGTGAAGAGCGCGATATCGAAGAAATGTGTATATTATATTAAGAATGTACAGAAAGCTTAGAATACTAAAGCGTTCAAATGTCCACGAGATAGTATTAATGTCGTTTTTATGTCTTAGACTTATTTTTATGTATTAATATTTTGACAGTGTATCATATAATTTCGATAATTTAGATCTGCAGAGTAAATTTACAAATAAGATGCAAACAGAAACCAACAAAACATATGTTGCAAACAATTATGTATGTAAAATGATTCTTTCAAGCTTCAAAGAAGCGTGGATAGAAAGTATTTTTGATAATTTGTGCGTACTGTTAAGTTACTATTGAGCGTCATTATGTCTTATAATTAATAATTGTAATGATAATAGTATTGTAACTGGTTTTCATTATAAACTTTTAAGAAACATCGTTTTAATAATTAACATTTTTCTTTTTATTTCCTTTGACAAGCTTTTAGCAAGGGCAAGGATATCTTGTGTGATGAAACATCCTGTATATTACGCATTAAATTCCTTCAATATCGACAGAAATTCGAATATCTAAAAAGTGTCAAATTTTGACTATTCAAGCAACTAATTTTTCCAAAAACCAATTTTTTTTAATTTTTTACATGTGTCTTTAATAATTGTGGCTATTAATATGAATTTAATCACATGACTTGTATGCTGATTTCTCGCGATTCAATGGAAAAAAATGGTGCCGTCAGTAGATTTCACTTCCGCGGACAAAAAATATCAAATAAAACGAGCAAGAAACTATATAAAGAAAGAGATACGAAACAATTTAGCACCGAAATCTAAAAGATGATGAATTTTGATATAAAACAGATCCGTTTGACAGGTAATGCCTATTTTTTCATAGATTATTGTCGCTGTGATACTGCAGTCTTTTGTTTTGCAGATATCTTGTTTGTTTTGAGAAGAACGAAACGAGACGAGAGGCACAACAACGTTCGAAACATTCTCGATTCGCCGTTCGCACACAACCGCCTAACAATGACGACGAAGATATTCGAGGACTGCGTATTGCAGTCGATGCGATTTCCGCAGAAACTTTGGCAAATAGTGAACGCGTGCAAGACAGGGGCGATTCAATGGGGCGTGAACGGCAACACCATACTGCTCGATTACAAGAGATTCCAAGCGGAATACTTAGACGCCCGTCTGCCCATCTTTAAGACGAACAACATTACGAGTTTTATCAGACAACTGAACCTCTACGGTTTCCGCAAGGTAACGTTCCACGATCGCGAATCCTACCATCCGGATGTGCATGAGTTCGTACATGACAACTTTCGCGCGGATCGGATAGATCTGTTGTCCAAGGTGTGCCGGAAGACTTGTACAAAGGGCAAATATTTACATGATGTTGTGAAAAGTACGGAAGACAGTCCACGAAAAGAGGTGAACTCCGCATCGCGTTTAAAATTGTGTCAGGTACATCCATTAAATGTGAATTAGGCATTGAAAAAACAATCGATTTGTTCCCATGTAAAAAAAATTTATATGATTTTTGTTTGCGAAGCTGCAGTAAAAACAGCTACAAATCTTAATATAATTAATCATCAATTAATCAATCGATTACTTATTTTTTCAGATACTTTTTAAATAATTTATTCTGTTAATAAGAAACATTATTTTGTATTTAATTGTAATAATAAAATTTTACATTTTAAGCTGGCTTTGACAAAAACTTTGGAACAAATTACTGAGGAATATCGACGAAAAATTGATGAAAAAAGACCATTATTAACCCAGGATGCTACTCTAAAAAGAATAAAAACCTCTCAAGACACAGGTACAAATACTGAAACTGGTTTATTTAATAATTTACTACAATGTGTTAGATTGATAAAAAAACTTGTTCATTATTACATTAATCAATTATTCAAGTTAAGAAAAGAAAAGAAATGAATGTTTTTATCTAGTTAATATTACTAAAAGATTTTTGTATTATTTTCAATACTAATACATAATTATTACATCTGTAAAAATCACTAAAATATACCAACTTTAAATGAGGAAGAGAAAAAAGAAATCTTTTCGAACATAGGAATCAGTTGAAACTAATGATCTATTTCTGTAGTACATACTTATGGAAATCCGATCTTAGAAGAAAGAATGACTCATTCCACTCCATTCCATCAAATATCATAAGAACCCATCATAGTTTAAATTCTTAACATACTGTTTCAAAATCTTTATGTATTTAACAAATATTAATTATTATTGGTAAAAATAAATTTTGTTAGAAATTATTTTGATAATAATATACATAGAATATATATTTAAATATTAAATATAATATATTTTAAATGTAAAATATTAACAATTACATATTTTTCAGTTCCTGTCTTGTACAAGATTGAATTCAACAGTGTTCTAAACAGAAAACCTGCCATAAAGCGTGTTGCAAAATATTCAGCGTTTCTTCCCTCCAAATCTATTGATACATTTGATAAGAAAGAAATCCCATCCTCTTGGTATATCCATGCAATGGATAAAAATAGCATATGTTTCAAAATTTAAAACATTCATTAAAATCAAACTTCATTAAGTTCTTTCAAACATTATTTACAGTATAAAAGTATATTACAATCTTAATGTGATATTTTATCTATCAAACTATAAATTACGTTACATTAATATAATAATAATGACTATAAAATTGTCAATATAATTTAAAAAAATAATTGCTAAGATTATTATAACTTGTAAGACATATAGAACAGTAAGGCTTAATTTATTAATGTAGTGTAAAAGTTTATTTTAATAAAGCCTAAACAAAAGATTTTATTTTATAATAAAAAAATCAAAGCGAGCAGCTTTTTAATAAAGATATACAAACTGAACGTTTTAATTATTTTTTCGAATAATAAACCTTCCCACATATAAATTAAAAATAATGAACAGCATAAGAAGCGAAAAAGATAAGTAATGTGTGAAAATAAAGAACTCAGGATCGTGAAAATACAGAAACTCTGTTGTAATGTTTTTGTTAAGAATTTTATAAAATTACATAGAACATATTAGTTATCAATTTTTACTTGTACTAGGTTCAGATTGTTGATTATTTTTTCGTTTAATTTGTTCCATTTTATGTCTTTCTAAAAAACTTTTAAATAACTCCTCTTCTTTATCTTCTACTTTTTCATCTTCCTTGAAATCGTTTTCTGTTCCATCTTCGTCTTCACTCGATTCATTACATGCATGTTTTAGGTAGATTTCCGAGATCTCACGACCATTGTTAACTGCTGATACAAAAGGTACAGCTTCTCCCATTGCTTTCTTACTAGCCTTCTCTAATTGTTCCTTCTCTGTCTTTTTTCGCTCAGCTTCCCTCGCTGTTTTAATTTTTTCCCAATTCTTTTTGTAATCTCTTTAAGAACAAAGCAATTATTGGAAAAATTAGTATAATTTTTTAATCAACGTGCCCTTATATTTTTAAAGTATATAGTGTTACTTACGTTTCATATTCTTTCACAGCAGTGTCAACTAATTCCAGAAATTCGTCAATTCCAGCACCTGTTACTGCAGAAACGCCGCAGCACTGCAAGTGATTGTAAAATTCTTCAAGGGCTAATGCCATACTACGCGTTAAATTGCTAATGTAACCGCTTTCCATATCAAGTGCTTCTTGGAAGGCTTCAAAATCATGCATCCAGTCAATTGCATAAGTATGCTCAACAACATCAATCTAAAATAAATTAATTGTGCATTAAAATTTGATCTAAATTATTCAAAAACAATATACACATAAATATGACTATATAAATCTACTTACTTTATTCATGACTATGACAAAAGGTAATTTAGTTTTATAAAGTATAGAACAAGCATATAGCATGTTAGACATAAATGTGACGGGATTAACACTTCTCACAATATCAATTACATATATAATAACGGTTGGAAATTGAGATGCTAATGCTTCCGTTATAATTGAGCCACTGGCCGACCACGCAAAGACTTCAATTTGTCCTGGTGTATCCAAAATCACATAATTGTGTTCATTGCTAGCTTTATCAATAAGTTCAATGACTTGATGAAACTTTGTAGTAAAAAGATTTAAACTTGTAACTATGCCACCATTTGGACCCAAATTGTATTGCTTCATTACTTCTTTGTAATTCACTGTGTCTCTTATATCTGAAAGAAAGTATAGATTTTGTAAAGTACTGTTGTTGACTTGAAAATATAAAATTCATGCTAAGCTAGAAACATAATAATGAAAACAAAACAAAATGTGATGTGAAATATTGTTAAATCACTACCACATAAATCATATCACAATAATTACCTATATTAGCAGGATATGGAACCTCTCTACAAGCTGGATCTAAATTAATGACATATGGCTTTCCTATATTGTACAATCTAGAAACAAGTTTGGACACGAATGATGTTTTTCCAGCACCAGCCATTCCAAGTACAATAATACATGGTATTTTTCTTTCATTTGTACATTGCTTTTCTGTTGCAGATGTAGTACTCGAAGCAGCATTTGTTGCTTCTGCAATGTCGGAATTATCTTTGATTTCCGACATTGATAAATCTGTAAATTTAAAAATTTGTATAATATTTTCACCATTAATTAAGAATTTATTATGAATTAAAGATGTCAAGCAAAATGTCTTTTAATGTAATAATTAAAAATATATGAAGCATACAGAAAGCATTTAATTAAAAAGATAATCATATATAATTTATTATAGTACATATTTATTTTTCTCTTTTTATATAGCTTTAAAAAGCTAACCTAACATGTTAAATGTATATTTTTTTAAGTATTTTTAAATAACTTACGATTTATTCAAGTACCTGTTTAAAAATAGATTATTATTTTGCTATATGCAATGTTTTCAGTCAAAATAATTTGAATTGAGTATCCTTTGTGTATATTTTCACTTATAATGTGCAGTCACACCAGGTCACACGACTGACATATTCAGATATTCAATACTAAGTTAGTAGGGTATCGTACACATGCGCAAGCTACGTATATACATGTGAGCTCCGCGCTTCGGCTAGCTTCAAACACTGGAAAAGAGCAGACATACTATTTCTGTCTCCTTTCTTACCGACCAGAAATGCTCCATTTTAGCGGGGATTTTATGAAATTGTTAACAGGAGCACATGATGATATAGGAGCTTGCTCTTGACTAGATCAGTCGGTACACTTACCATCATGTACAGTTGTTATATTGTTGTTTTAGCTAACCAAAAGATGGCACTTTTGAGTGAGCTCCTAATATTCATGTGCTTCTGTTAACAGGAGCACATGCGCTGTAGGAGGTTACTCGGAGCAGCGCCATCTTTTGGTTAGCTAAAACAACAATATAACAACTGTACATGATGGTAAGTGTACCGACTGATCTAGTCAAAAGCAAGCTCCTATATCATCATGTGCTCCTGTTAACATTTTAATAAAATCTCAGATAAAATGGCGGTTCCAGCAGGTAATCTTAATTTTTCTACATGCTTATAGCTACTTAATTGTTCACTTCTGGGCTACTTTTGACAGTGTTAGGATGCCCGTAAAATACTTAAATAATTAAAATGTTTCTTTTAAAATTTTTGGAAAGATTTTTGTTGCAAAATTCAAAATGCCAATTGTTAAAAGAATTGAATGTTTTTTAAGACGTTTTTAGGACGTCCTAAAGATCTTATTTAGGACGTTTTCAAGACGTGTTTTTAGGTTTCCTTATATTTATTATATATATGATTATGTTAGTATTATGCTTTTTCCGAAGCTAGCTGAAGCGTAGAACTCATATATATGTGGCTTGTGTATATTCGATATTTTATTTACTCATGCTGCTTGCTGCTTGTGTCTCAAATCTAGCATCACCGCGTCACTACTGTTCTAGTGAATTAGAGCTGTTAGTTTTCCCAAAGAGCTCCATTAATATATATCTAGTGTGAATTGAATGTGAATGGCGAATTCTTTCTGATTCGTAATTTCTATGTATTTGCAGATAAAGTTTTCGTTGCTTTGATGAAATTATTTTTTAACATATGACGTATTGCCACCAGCTTCTGATAAACGAATGTAAAGTTTAATATAAATCTATGTGTAATACGAATTCTTATTTTGTTTGCTAAAGCTTAATGATTATTTTCTATATTTATAGGTTAAGATGATGTTATGGTTTCTGTATATATAATATATACATAAAGTTTATGAAGTTTGTAAAGACTGAAAGGATGATTTAAAGTGATAACTAACATTCGATATGCATATATTATAATTTGTTTATTGCATATCTGTATTTACAGTACAATTCTATTCATGAGGTTGATATTTTAACAAAGAGAAGGCAATGGTATTTCTTGGTTAATTTAAAAAGAAATAAACTGGCGGACAATTTAGAATATACATGCTAAAGGTATATATACATATAACTATTCTTTATTCTTTATTATGTTTAATGTTATAAGATATATAAATATTTCTTATTCTTATACTCTTCTTGTTATGTTCTTGTATAAGTATGAAGAGTAACAGATTGTAGATTGATAGAAATTTTAATGACAACAGTCAAAGAATAAAAACCTGTCTTATAGTTTTATTATATTACACTTTTTATATTAAAAATAAGTATATAATTAAGCATTGCAGAGAGAAAGAAAGTATAGAAGGTACATTTACAAAAAGCAGTTTTAAGTATATTTAATCCAGATTAGTAATTTATTGATTACAAGAAGAAAGCCTCTAATATAGTAAAATGACATCCATTATAAAACTTCACGCTATCTCTGGAGCGATGGATGAATCTCCACCTTGCTACATATTACAAGTTGATGAATTAAGAATATTATTGGATTGTGGATGGGATGAAAATTTTGATCAAGACTTTATAAGAGAATTGAAAAGGTAATATTTGTGATATGACTATATTTATTACAATAGAATATATTTTATTAATTTTTATATATTTTTATTTACTTTTAATTATTTTTTTCAGACATGTTAACCAGATAGATGCAGTACTACTTTCATATCCAGATCCATTACATTTAGGCGCATTACCATATTTGGTAGGTAAATGTGGCCTAAATTGTCCCATATATGCCACCATACCTGTCTACAAAATGGGTCAAATGTTTATGTATGACATGTATCAGGTATATCTCTTTGACATGTATAAATATAAAAAACTTATCAATTTTAAATTGATATTAATATTTAAAATATTGTGTATTGATTTCAGTCTCGTCATAATATGGAAGATTTTGATCTATTTACTTTAGATGATGTTGATGCTGCATTTGACAAAATAGTACAATTAAAATACAATCAAAGCATATCAATGAAAGGTAAAGGCTATGGTGTTACGTTGACACCTTTGCCAGCAGGACACATGATTGGTGGGACAATTTGGAAAATTGTGAAAGTAGGAGAAGAGGATATAATTTATGCTGTGGATTTTAATCACAAAAAAGAACGTCACCTGAACGGTTGCGAGTTAGAGAGATTGCAAAGGCCATCATTGTTGATAACAGATGCATTTAATGCTACATATCAACAAGCCAGGCGAAGAACAAGGGATGAGAAGTTGATGAGTAAATTTCATATTTATTTTGATTTAAATTAAACTGTTCAGAAACAAAAAAAAATATACTTTTAACAGTTTATTTGTATTTTTTTGCATTTTAGCTAATATTTTGCAAACATTGCGAGGTGGTGGCAATGTATTAGTTAGTGTAGACACTGCTGGCCGCGTATTAGAATTGGCACATATGCTGGACCAATTGTGGCGCAACAAAGAATCTGGGTTGCTTGCTTACTCATTAGCCCTTCTTAATAATGTGAGTTATAATGTTGTGGAATTTGCAAAATCTCAAATTGAATGGATGAGCGACAAATTAATGAGGAGCTTTGAAGGTGCACGCAATAATCCGTTTCAATTTAAGCATCTGCAACTCTGTCACAGTATGGCTGAACTGAATCAAGTCCCAAGCCCAAAGGTAAACTAAAACTTTCATGTTTATAATTTCTAAATAATTCACTTCAAAAGATTAATTTTTAATGTTATATTCAGGTGGTGCTTGCAAGCACTCCGGATATGGAGTGTGGATTTTCTCGAGAATTGTTTCTTCAATGGTGCACAAATCCACAAAATAGTATTATATTGACGAGTAGAACATCTCCAGGTACACTTGCTAGAGATTTAGTAGAAAGAGGAGGAAATCGAAACATTACATTGGAAGTGAGAAGACGAGTGAAACTTGAAGGTATTGAACTAGAGGAATATCAAAAAAGAGAAAAGCTGAAACAAGAGCAAATGAAACAGGAACAAATGTATGTATGCAAATATATATATATATATATATATCGACCGTTTAATTATATTTGCTACTTATTATTTATGTATGTAATATATTTAATTAGGGAAACTGCAGATGTGAGTTCTGAATCAGAAGACGAGATAGAAGTTGGTGGTGTGAGAGGGAAACACGATTTATTGGTGAAGCAAGAAAGTAAACCTGGCTTTTTTAAACAAAGTAAAAAGCAACATCCCATGTTTCCGTTTGTGGAGGAAAAAATTAAAATAGATGAATATGGAGAAATCATAAAGTAAGGATTTTTCTAGATATAAAATAATTTTATAAAGCATATTTTTTATATTATTCCCTCAGCAACATATTTAATAATTGTAATAAATTCTTTGTCTCAAAATTCTATCCCTATACAAAATATTAAAGAAATTTTAGAACATTAGTATTTAAATTATTTGCATATATGTATTTTAGCAATAAATATATTATTATATATTTCATAATTAATAAACACAATTTGCTTATCCATTAATATAATTTTTATGATTATTTAGTAATCGCTTATATAAATCTTTATTTTACTATTTGTTTTATTACAGACCGGAAGATTATAAAATAGCAGAAACTGTATCCGAAATAGAGGATAATAAGGAAAACATAGAAATGAAGCAAGAAGAAGCCAATCATCACCCAGAAATAGCTGCCGATATTCCGACAAAATGTGTACAAGTTTCGCGTACAATGACCGTTAATGCATCAGTAACGTACATAGACTTTGAAGGCAGGTCTGACGGGGAGTCCCTGCAGAAAATTTTGGCGCAGCTAAGACCGAGGAGAGTAGTTTTAGTCAGGGGTTTATCTAAAGACACAGAGATACTGGCACAACAAGCACAAAGTGCTGGCGCAAGAGTATTTATTCCAGGCAGAGGGGAGACGTTGGATGCTACGACAGAAACGCATATTTATCAAGTAACGTTTAACGTTTTTCTATACTTTCTAGACTTTAAATTGTGCGATTATATAATTGTCTTTTTACATTTTAATAATTCTCAAATTTTCTTTTTACCTCAATTAGAAAAATAAACTGAAGATATAGTATTTTGAAGACACCGTCCTAGTTAAAAAAATTAGTCATCACACAGAATATATATATTTTTTGTTGCAGGTACGTTTGACCGACGCTCTCGTTAGCGGATTGAATTTTTCGAAGGGTAAGGGCGATTCTGAAGTAGCGTGGGTGGACGCGATGATAACAGCACGCGATCAAGTTTGCCGAGATGCTGTTGCCGATACCGAATCCAAGGACGCAATCGATGAAAGCGACAAAATATTAACTTTAGAACCTTTGCCATTAAATGAGGTGAGATGTATATAAATTGCAAACGAATAATATAACTGTTAATTAGTACATAATATAACACATACTTCTTTTTCTACAGGTTCCAGGCCATCAAACGACATTCATAAATGAATTGAAACTATCTGATTTCAAACAAGTTTTAAATAAAAGTAATATCCCATCAGAATTTAGCGGAGGAGTATTATGGTGTTGTAATAACACTATCGCTGTTAGAAGGGTTTGTTTTATTAATGATATTAATATTAATTGATTTCTGTATTTTTCATATAATTCAAGAAAGTAATATTTGATATATTATATGAATAAATTTTATATGTATATATTTTTTTAGCATGAAGCTGGAAAAGTAATATTGGAAGGCTGCATTTCCGAAGACTACTATAAAGTACGAGAACTGTTATATGAACAATATGCAATTGTATAACTATTAAGTATGTGTGTATAAAAGAAACCTATGTGATTGATAATAATTACAAGATTTTTGTACTTTATCAATTCTTTTTCTGTATTTCTTCAACCAATCCTTTTATTTTACCATATGCATTTTATAAAGCTTTGTATCGTTTTATAAAAATAACTATGATATATAAATATTACACTATAGTTTTTGTAAAAGTATGGTGGAAAGTATATGTGAAAGAGTCGCATTTTCAAAGTATCGCGCCGATAATATCATTTTATGTTCGATTCGTGCGCTAGCGTGCGCTGGTTATATATGCATGTATATATTAATTCGCCTAATAAAAGCATATTATAAACATTTTGATCAATAACATGTTCAACACATACTTATTTTAATAGTGTAAAAGCTTTCATTGTAAACTGGTTCAACCAGTTTTGTGTGTGAATTAAGTGCGCATATGCGTCATTAGTGCATTTGATTGCCGTCAAGTGTAGTTCGTTGCACGTTGTTGCATGTTACAGTTTAGTTGCAGTGTGGTGCGTGTATTTGTATTTTTTTTTTGTACTGCAATTGACGGAATTGAAGCAATAGGAATTATCCTCCATCCGTGAGTTTTCGTAGAATATTGTAGTAATTTTAATTTATATTTATCTCAAAAATTACGAAACTCAACTTCAAATAAAATGAATGATTGGTTATGAAATCATTGTTTGTGAAAAACGACACGTGTACCTAGCTGCATGTATAAAAAGAAATAGAATCCACATAAAGGATGACGAGACATTTATAACTAATGCATTTAGCAACGGACATAAATATTATCAAGTTAATTAATGTTCTTATATTTTTTTTCAGAATGTACTCTGGATATGTTTTCATAAGAAATATGCGGTGCAGCATTGTCTCTAAGAAATATTGTTTGGTTTTTAGAGATTTGCACAACATTATATGAGATTAAAATAAACATTGGCAACATGAGAAAATATTACCAAGCTGCTCTAGCTGTGACTGCAGTATTAAGTCTCATATCTCTGCTCATCTATAGACATGAATATAATAGATTGAGATATGTCTTAGAAGTTTTTAATTATTTTGGTAAGCCTGGACCAAGACTGGATACAAATTGCACAAATTTTAATCTGACATTTACCACATTCAACCCAAAATTTGACGAACCAATTCCTTCTTGGCAACGCTTGGAGGATGATCTATATGTATATTCTGCATATAGTATTAATCACAAGGAGATACGGGCAGTTGGACTTGGAACTATAAATAGTATTTTAAATGTACAATGTCTTGTCTTCTTCGAGAGTGAGAGTAAACCTATATTAGGAATATTTAAATTTATTCCAATAGGTAATTCAATTAACACAAATGAAGAAGACAATTTAAGAGGATATCATTTTGTTTGCACGCACACAAGTAATGAAACTCCTACTGGTATAACATTTGTTACGAAGTCTAACAAATATCTCAATTACGCACCCATCTTTCCCATAAAAATGCAGCCGCAGAACTCGATTCACAGTCGAATAGGAGTATGCGTGATGCAGTCATCGATGAAGCCAACGCGATCGATAGATATGATAAGCTTCATCAGCTTTCACGCGTTGATTGGAATGGATAATTTCATCATATATGATTCTGGAATTTCAAACGAATTCAATACTAAACTAAAGGAAATGGCTAATGATCCAACATCATTTTGGAAGTTTACATACACTGTCATACCATGGAATTTCCCTTTCACGGAGATTGATCAGAATTTCATCAGAGAAATCGTCGAGATAGATTGCTTATATCGCACATATAACAATGTCGCTTACGCCATTACTCTCTCATGGAACGAATATGTAGTTTTGAAATTTCATCACGCAACAATCGATTTAGTTACGGATTTCAAACGATTCCAGATGTCAGCTGATCGCTACAAACTGAAAACTGCAACTTTCTGCACACAACAAGCTGATGACAAACAATACGTCGATTCTCCATTGATGGTGTTGAAAAAGACGAAGTCTAATATGGACAGTTTGAACGATCATTTTATTTATATGCACAAACCGCATGTAGTATTACAAAACTCCCACATAAACACCAAGGAGATACTAAAAGATTCAGTTGCTTTAGTGAATCAGTATAAATATTGTGATAACTACAAAAATACTTCCCAAATAGATGATTTTACAATTTTAAGATTTGCTTCAGCTATACAAAACTCATCGATTCTTAGGAAATATCTTGAACTGTACAATGTGCCTGATACAAAGTGATATTTCAGTATAATTAATAGTGAATTAGCTATTAATTATCATGGAGAGAGAGAGAGAGAGAGAGATTTTGCTATTTTGAAAATAATACTCCTGTTTAATCTTCATATATGTCAATACTTCGTGATTATTTGTGTAGTCTTTCATAGGTGCCTTAATCATCACGTTGCAGTTATGACATAATCAACTATTTTGTATATTTCAAACTACAAATAAAACGTTGCTGTTTGTTATTCATAATAGTCTTATATTTCAGTATTTTTTATTTATACTCATTATAATGCTGCAAAATTACATAATATTCACGAAAATAATTTTATTACAGATATTACAAAAAATTATATCATATACTTATAGTCGAATTAGATTGAAAACTTTGCATATTTAGCCTCAAGATTTACATAATTCAAATATTATTCAACTTATAATTAATTTAAATAATTGCAGGAAATAGGCATAAGTATACAATAAAAAAGAAAAAAATCATAGTGAAAGAGGTAATATATATTCTCAATAAAAATACATAGAAATTTTATCTTTATGAGATTTAAAATGTATTTGTTATATATCTGTTACATTTTTCAAACTAGAAATTTAGAAAAAGTTTATTTACTTCAGTCGTTGCATTATAGCCGAATTTTGTAAACCAGCCTCTTCGATTGTCTTATCTTCTGCAAGTTCCTTCGTTGGATAAATGGTTAATAAACTGAAATCCCTTAGAGCATACTGAGGTCTCATACTAATATTATGTGTTAAGAAAAATCTTTTTCAATTGAATTCACTATTTTGAACAGATAATTTAAACAAGAAAAAAAAGGAAAGATTCTAAAAAGATCAAGAGTTTCTAAGAATATTAAAGGATACGTTATTATATATCGTCTAAGATCAGCGACTGTATGCGATAAGTTAAATTGAGCCTTCACGGTACTGCCGTCCGCAAGGCGAATTTGTAACGTCGTGGTTGGTTTTGACGTATCTACATCCAGTTCTTTCTTTGCTTGCGCTTCATTAGCAGCTTGATCAGCGGGATCTGTTGGTACTGTCATCCCTACAGTAGCCGGTGATGGACTGAAATATTTATAGCGTTATAAAAACAAAATCTAAGAAATGTATAAATCACATCTGGAATCAAATATAAAAAATAGATCATTTATCAAGATTAATCATCTACAATGTACCTTCCTAGCATGTGTCCCTTTCCAGAGAAGGCTTTCACTTTGGATTTGGATGGAACGTAAATCTCATGACGATGATCCTCCATGTCAAGTCGTACCTCTGCGCCTTGTACTTGCTGACGAATCTCTGCTGGGATTTCACCTCGCTTGATGGCAGCCAGAAACTCTCGATTTTCAGGCTCATCATATGATCGAATCTCACTATCATTTATAGTGAATCCGTCTTTCCACAATTTCAACGTGATGAGACCGCTTGAGGATTGTTGATCTGAATGTGCTCCAATTACAACTGTTATTACACAATAGAATATAAAACACATCATTTCTGAAGTACATAAGCTTTATGCAAATAATGTAAGATTCAAGATACCTTCAGTGTCAGAACTAGTTTGACCTAATTTATATCCTGTACCACTAAATGTGTTTGGTCTCTGTTGGCCACCCATTTTTGGAGGCTCCGCAGAAATCGATTGCTCCTGACACGATTTGAACATATCACTGATAATGTCCTTTTTCTTCTTTCCTGGTCCTAGAACCTGCTGGCCGCTGTGTTCTGAGCCTCCTGCATAAAATGCCTGTCCCTCCTCTTCCTCAGAACTGCTGTCTCTGTTCTGAAGATCGTTTAATGTTCCAAACCTAGGTTTTGGTTTAGCACCCTTTGACTCCGTGGAATCAGACTTTGTATGCTTTGACATTGTGTCTGTTGTCGCTGGTAGTTCCTCCACTGGTGGTGTATCCTCAACAGCTTCGGTCACCAATCCGGACGGCTCATCGTTCTCATAGAAACTGGCGAGGGCAACCTGCAAAAATACTACGTGCCAACGCGTGTGACAGAATTGTTAAAGAAAATTGAAACCTTACAGCATATGTTGCGTCAAGCTTCGCTAATTGTAATCTTAATCCTGTCGATAAAGATTGCAATCATTATGATAAGTTGTCAAATCTATATGGAAATAAAAACATATGCACATTTTATGCATAAACGAAACGTCAGATAAGAAGTAGATCACTGAGAAAATGGAGGGTATTAACAGGTGCGAATAGTAAGGTTATAAAAACTGGTGCCGAGATTAACTCCGAAACACTGGAGCTTCGCGACTCGCACGAGAAAAAGAGAACCTCGATATCTGGAGTTTTATAAATGTGCTGTCTCACCTCGAGCTGCCAAGCAGATGACTCAAGGTAAAATAGCGCTCTCTCGGCTTCAACACCAGTTACGTCGGCGAATTGCGAGACCAACTCGTCACGACTCGCCATTCTTCGTGAATGTTAGAAAACTCACGAAATGTTATCCACCGTTTTTCCCTCGCGAGTTCGATTTGTGTAAAATTCCACGGAATGTTCCCACCTCGCGAGGCTAGTTCGTCGAAACTAATGACCCTTTGTGTCGGTTTTCACGATCTGTCTGTCATTCCCCTCGTTCGCGCGCAGTCGAACCGGATGTGCACAGTCGAGGATGTCCGTTTGAATGCGCCGTGCAAGAAACGCTTTTGCATTGTCGATTTATTGCACTTAGAATTAGATTTTTGTGAGTTTTATGAAAATATAGAAAGTCTAACGATTCTCTTCATGTTATTTAATAAACAATTCGAACGACGAAGTATGAGAAAGGTAAATATTATCCAAATTATACGTTCAATGACGATAAAATTGATCGATGTTACCAAACAGAGGTTAGATTTTGATTATCCTAAATTATAAAAATATTATGATCATACGCTCGTTTACGTCGCTAAGCGGATTTTTCGCTTCTCAAATTATTTGTCGACTTGGCAAAATAATGCTGTGCCACGTTTTATCCAATGTTCATGCGATTTGTCAGTTTCCAAAGATACGCTCGTAATAAAATTCCTCTTATTTCTATTCGTATCAGTATGTGCTTCGTGGTATCGCATCGACGAGATATATACGGGGCATTCATAAATGTTATCGACAGCCTTTTCTTCCGTACTAAACGTAAGACATATCGGCGGCATGTCGTGCCAGAATACATTCGTCAAACTTTCAATTAACACATGCCTCTGCGTATCCCATCGAGCGCCGGATAAATATAAACCGTGAATATAATATGTATCTACGCTTTCCTCGCTATACGTGGAATCACATTTCTTTACTTTGAGGTTTAATGTAATCTGTTCAACAGGTACATTGCGACATCGTGAGAACATAAGGAGAGCCGCGAGCAAAAATCTCTTGCAACAAGACAGCGCGTCGAAGCGGACAATACGAGGTAAGCCGCTATCGTGCCAGCTTTGCACATAATTTACACGTTTCAAGAACAAACTGATATAATTTGGCAAATATTCAGTCACAATGCCGACGTCGATCGTCTTCCAAACGCGTGGAATTTTATTCTTGTATATTTCTTTAGCAAAATCTTCTAAAGAATCGGTCAAAACAATTTCGCCGTTCAATGCCGACTTTAAATTATTCAACGATTCTGTAATTATAATTAAAATTCTGTTAATCAGTTCAGCTTCATAAATGAGAATCGCGTTTAACGGATCGCGCGAGGTAAGAGGATGTTTCTCCTGTATCTCGTTAATATTAAATAAAGCGGGCAATTTGTCGGTAATTTTATCAATAGCTTGCAATATTTTATCCTGGGCGACGTCGTCGCTCGGCGATCCGATTTGATCAAGACGAGATATCGATTTTAGAAATTCTTCGGCGACAGCGGTGTCTTTCCTGACGAGAGCATTTTCGTCGGTGGCGAAAGCTTCCGGCGACGCGTCCAACTGCATGTCGTTGATATGTATGATAATGTCGCGGTATTCGCATCTTTGAGGCACCGCGTGCTCCGCGCAATCGGAAAATGAATAATTGCCGCTGTCGATTACACGAGCGTTGCAAAAGCAGCGTAATAGGTATCGCAGGCACTTCCGATCAATGTTATCTATGATCTTCCCGCCGTAATTACACTCGCCGACAAGGTAGAGCAGCGTGTCGAATGACAGGTTTTCGGCGTTGATCAAATTCTGCAGCTGCCTGATGGACATCTCGAAGTCCATGTGGTCGAAATCATACGGCATGTTCCATCCTTGCGGCCCGAAGTGTCTCCTCTGCCTGACGATTCCGTGGAAGAAGCAGAGCCCGTACAGCAGCTTGGAGAATTCTTTGTCCCTTCCGGGACACCCTTCGAAAAACTCTTTACTCCTTATCGGCTCCGATCGATACGCTCGCAGCAAGCCCTGCTTCAGCCGCAGCGGATAGTCGTACGCGATCTTCACGCTGTTCTGCAGAATGCTGATCGGAAAGTCCGGGACGGAGCAGCTGGAGAGCCACAGTCGGAAGTCCAAGGACGTGTCGGATAGATTCAGGTTCTCGTAAATCCCTTCGAGCCGCGGAATCCACGAAGCGGCGTGATGGCAGTTGAGCAAAAGTATCCATCCACCCTCTTTGCGCGCCCGCTCGACGAGAACTTCAGCATTGTTCGCCTGTCCGTCGCCCATCGACAGGGAAATGAACTTCGAGGTGTAGCCTCGGGCGCTCGCGTACGCCGAGACGAGCGACAAGGGCGAGGCGTAGCTCGGCAGGATAAATATAATTGGCGTGAGGCAGCTGGACTCGGCGTACGATTCGGCTATCTGGAGGCGGGGATAAGAGTTGAATACATCCTCCATGGTGTCTTCTATTAATCGCATTATCTCCACGATGATCTTGTCGCGCCTCACGATTTTGATGAGCATCAGCTGTTGAAAGCGAGTCAGTCTGTCGGCCCACGGTTTCGGTATCGGACGACTCGCGAAGGGCTCCGCGTTGCAGTATTTTTTCCAAACTGCGCCGTTGATACGAAAGTCATCCGCGAGCTCGCGAAAGTCGGCCAGCGCGCTGCTCAGTTTGCAGATTTCTTTCCATTTAATCGTCGGCAACCATTCCGGCGCCGATTCTAGAACCACGTCGGAATCCCCCGCGTTCGTGGAGATGAAATGCTCAACTTCCTCTTGCGTGGTTTCTCGAGTGTCTATCATAATTCTTACACACAGCAAGAAGGAATACAGGAGCTTGTGCCTTTCGAAGAGCGATCTGCAGACGCTGGAGTGAAGGTTTCTCGTGAACGAAGATTTGAGAAACTGCAGTCGTTTCTCGAGAACGACGCTCCGGTTCGACGTCTCGATTGACGTGACGTACAGCTGAATGAACCACGAGAATGAGAAGCGGTACATGTGATTCAAATTCGACAGAGTGTTCAGCGTGCAGAACAATCGCGCGCAATGATCGGCGAACTGCAGATACGCGTCTCTAAATCTGTTGATATCCCCAATCATCGCTCGGGCCGCTTCTTGTTTTCTCACGATGTCTACAGTGAGGTTCTTCGACGAATCCAGGGTCTGTATCGCGCCTTCGTCCTCCAGGATATTCGTGGTGGTCGACGAGAGGGTGCTTAGAATGTTGTCCTCTTGCTGCTGAAGAACCTTCTTGTTGATGGCGTCCTGAATGCGAAGCGCTTCGAACTTCTCCTGAAGCTCCGGTCTCTCTTTCGAGACGACGATGTCCAGCAGCTTGTCTTGCAGAGTTCCGTCTGGCATCGAGAAATCGATTATCGTGAGCTTGCTGAAAATATCCGCCGTGTAATTCGGATCTGACAGTCGCGTGGTGATGTAGAGTCGAAAGTCTTGCGAGTACTTAATAGATTTCGTCGCGATATCGATGTACCAAGTTTCATCATCGCGATAAATGCTCTTCAGCAGAATTGGCTCCAGCGCAATCTCGAGCGTCTCCCCGACGTTCTCCAGTAAAATCGGGTCGCCGTTCTCGATGTTTCGCTCGATGATCGACATATAATCAGGATCTGTCAGCTTAACGACTGTTAAATTGTTTTTCTCTTCGATCTTCTTGATCCACTGATTTATCTGACTCTGCGAGTCGACGAAGAGGCACCACTGCTCCGAATTCTTCAGGATGATAGCGTTTTCCACCGCGAAGCGATTTTTCGAGAGGCCGCACAGCTGCCAGTGATTGATCTCGATTTCCACGCCGAGGACGTTTATGAAATCATAGGTTTTGGTGTACGGTATCTCAGAAGCCTCCATAAATTCCTTCCACTTGGTCAGCGTCTCGTCGCGGAACGACGTGCTGTAGGACGCCATGTAAGCCATTATTCCGCACGAGAGCAGCATGTCGCCCGCGAGACTGTCGTAATTCATCTGAAGATTATGCGCGTACTGCATCCAGCGGCTCTTCTCGCCGCCCAGACTGGCGATCAGTTTCTCCGCCTTGACGAGCTTCGCGGTGCACGTCGCCACTTCCATCTCCAGGTTCAGCTTCTTCTGCAACGTCTGCCGCAGACTGTCGTTGAGCGCCGCCAGTTTCGCGTTCAACGCCGCCAGGGTCTGCTGCTTCTCGTTCAGGAACGCCTCGGCCTCGTCGCACTCCATCTGCGCCTCGGCCAGCTTCTTCTTCTTCGGCGCGACGACCTTCGCCACCTCGTCGTAGGACACCATCGCGCGCACCCATTTGCAAAGTCCCTCGGCGGCGCTGGACGCCTTCGCGACGATATGCGGCATGAAGCTGTTGTCTGTCATGTACGTCTTCTTGATGACCTGCATTATCGCAGGCGCGATGTCGTCCTTGTCGTAGTCCTTCAGGTTCTGCAGGAAGTTCATGTCGCCTAGGATGCGCTTGCTCGGGCCCCAGTAATCCGTGAACTTCTTGCCGGTCGCCGGATCGATCGTGCGATCCGGCGGGACGCTCAGCATCACGCAGACGGCCGCCATCACCAGCTTGATGGTGTCGGGCGGATTCTTCATCGCTTTCACGAGCGTGATATCGGTGGGCTTCAGGGTGTTGAGCGCGAGCACGGCGTCCTCCAGAATCGGTATTGCGACGGCGAGATCGGCCTCGCATTCGGTCTTCAGGGTGCCGGCGATCTCCGCCTTCCGATTCGCGATCTCTTCTTCCTGCTTCACGAGAATCGTCGCTCGCTCGACGGTCAGATTCTCGTTCTCCACTTCCTTCATTGTGATCACAGTCTGCTGAGCGGACAGCTCCAGCTGCGGCTTCAGGATCGTCAGAGTGGCCTTCATCTGCTCGACCTGCTCGGCCGCCAGTTCCAGCTTCTCCAACCCGGCCAAGTATCGATTCCGCGTCGCAACGATCTCCTTCTGCTTCTCCGACGTTAGTCGCGTGTATAATTTGAGCATGTGCAGGAAGGCCGACGACGTCACGTGAATCGTTCTGTCGAATACTTCGCCGTATCTCAAGCTCATCTCCTTCGCGTCGCTGTGGAATCGCACGCAAACTCTCGCCGCGCGCGCTTTGAGCTCCTCCCGCACGTTGACGAGTTTTATATGTTTCACGGCGATCTCCAGCAGCGCCTGATCGGGCCAGACTTGATAACAGTTCACCGTGCAGTGTTTCGCCAGATTCGGATGCGAGCAGAGATACGCTCTGAACGCGGCGCTGACCGGGCTGAAGCACAGCACGAAGTGCAATCTGTTCCTGCACTGCTCCACGAAGTACGTCATCACCGAGCGCGCGCTCATCTCGGCGTTCCGATCGCCGCCCTGGGCGTGCAGTCGCGTCATGTCGATTATACTCTGCCGGTCCTCGGCGGAAAATAGGTCGGGCAGCTCGCCGGTGCTCAGCAAGCAGCCGATGTCGCTCAGGAACGCGTCCTTCATCTGTCTTTCGCTCATAAAATACGCGACGTCTCTTCGCGCGGCTCCGCACTCCCGCAGGATTTTCCTCAAGTCGCTTCTCCACGCGCTCATATCGTAATAGGACTCCGCGGTGGTCTCGAAGAAACTCTGCTGCTGCACGAAGGCGGCGAGGGCGGTCGTCGTTCTCCTGCCGGAACCCACGGTTGACATCATCAGCAGATTCCCGCCCGGCATGCTGAGGACTCGGCAAATCTTGATCAAGCACTCCAGCATGTAGCGGCACACGACGACGTCGATCTTCCTCTTGAAATTAGCGTTGTACTCGTCCAAATACGCGAGGATCTTGTTTCTCAGAGCCTCCATCGAGCCGATCTCCTCGTACCGCCTGCACCTGCCGCTCTTCTCCGCGTCCATGAAATTGCCGAACATCAGATCGCCGAAGCTGTCCTTGGTGATCTGATTGCTGCCGAATTTCGGCAGGTAATCGAACGCGACCTCGAACGAGTCTTTGAAGTTGCTCTTCACGGCGTCGCGAATTCTTAAGAACAGCCACTCCTTGTCGCCGTCGTTCGACATGCGATCGCCGAACACACGCAGTACTTCGTGCGCCCATAGTCGAATAAACGTGACTTTCGTCTCCACCGATTCCTTCTGGATCAAGCCGCAACCGCTAATCACCCGCGACATGTCTCTCATATCGAAACAGTAATACAGTTTGCTCGGCACAGGCCGCAGCTCTTTAACTATCGATTTATAGACCTCGATCGTCGCATTTACTATACTCGTCACGCTTCCCGTCACGTCCGCCGCGAATAGATTTCTCTTTAAGTTGGCGGACAACACATTGAAGTATATTTTGAATATATTATCCGCCGCAGGAGCGGCAATCGTATAAGTATTGAAGTGCCTCAAAAATCTAGACGGCATCTCGCCACCGATTTTTCCCGTTGTAACCGCAATCGTGAACGTAACGTCCTGTATAAACACCTTGTTTAATTCATTCGTGTCGTAGCAGTAGCCGTAACTGAGAAATTGACGCAGCAGCTCGAACACGGATTGCGCTTCCGGTCTTTGGAGAACGGCTGCGCTTACGTCGTCCACAAAGTTCACGCAGAACTGATTTCTGCCTGGCCTGTACTCGGTGCGCCGCACTTTGTTCAGCTTCGACAGCAATAATGTCTGCGCTCTGGTCGCGCCGATCATAGAAGCGAAGCTGAAAAAATTGGACAGACAATTTTCCGGCAGCTTGTTGCTCAGAAGATCGTGCATGAGACAAGTCTTGCCGACGGCGACGTCGCCGTACAGGAGGAAAGGCTTCCGGCGTTTCACGTGTTTCAGGAACACGTGATTGTATTTCAGACTGTTAACGCTCGGGATGTAAATCGGATTGAAGTTGCACACCTCGGGCATCTTTTCGTTCTTCAGCAGATCGCCCCAGTACTTCCAATTGCCGACACCCTTGAAGATGTAGAAATTATCTTGAATCAAACCCTCGCTGGGCAACGTTACGTCACAGTGTTTGATCGCGTCGGGCTTCGGATATTTCGCGTCCGCGCCACTCAAGAGCGTCGCGCAGAAAGCGTTGAATCGTGTCTGCGGGTCGTTGATTAAATTTCCGCCCAATCCCCAGACGATCGCCAGGATCAAGGCAGCCTGCGCCCAGACGACGAAGTAATTGTCCTTGCTCTTGTCGTCCGCGGCGTCCTCGCAAGCGTCCCGCAACAGAATCTCGAATAAATTCAATGTCGACGTAACGAGATGTAATTCCTGGCCGTCTGCTACGTCGCCGTTTGCCTTTAGAAAACTGAGACACGGATCTATCGTCCAGTCGAATAAAGCGCTCAATATCTTGTCGTGTCCGCTGTAAATGTCGTGCCTCGCGATGTGAGACAGCACGCGCGGTTTCCAGCCAATGGAATGCGAATCGATATAGATTATTCCGCATCGCGATATCATGCCGGGTGAGATTTCCGCCGTGCTCGACGTTTCGAAGACGACGGACATCGACTCCGCCGCGGGAAGTCGTTCGCCAGACGTCAGGTACAGCATTTTGTTCTCGTCGAGCGTCGTGTATAAATTTTCTATCCACGTGCCGCTTAAATCGCCGTCGAAGACCAACCACTTGCGATCCGCTGAGCTGCTCTCCGCAAAGCGGCGAAATACGGCGGTGCAGAAGCCGTCCCTCCACGTTTCAGATTTGTCGCAGAAATATCCGAAGAGCGCGTTACCGTCCACCACCGACGGCACAATTGTTTCAAGTTCCACCGCGGCGCCGATTTTGTTTTCTCGATCGCGCAATAATGACAACGTCTCGGCGAGTGTGCGCAAAATCTCCGTCTTTCCGCTCAAAGGGTCGCCGATGAGCACGAGACCGCGACGGATGTGCATTAATTCGACGATCTGAATGGCTTTCAGTTTGAACGTCGCGTGCGGCGCGAGAAATCTCTTCGCGCATACGTTCTCGAGGGCGTTGAAAAGCGCCGAGCAGTCGAAAACGAGCGCATCGGACTCCGGAAAAACGTCCTCCATAATACTCTGGAAAACAGGTATGTCGGTGTCGCGCAGCTGCGATATATTGACGTCGATCATCGAGCGCAGCAGCAACGCGTGCTCGTTCTCGTCGAGAAAATTTTGCTTCATGCCGATCGCGGTCGCAACGACGGTCTTCAACGACGACGCGCCGAAATTGTAATGGCGCCTCTCCTCCAGATATTCGCACAATAATTTATAACTGACAGCCAGTTTCGCCGCCAGGTCTTTCGCATGGAGAAATCCGCCAGCGAAGAGCTCGATTTCCACGATTCTCTCGACGTCCGGTTTCGTCATCGACGCGAAACGAAAGAGGATCTTCAAATTGTCCGGCAGATCGGTATATCCGGATTGTTCCGTGTTGATGTTCACGCATATATTTCCGGTGGCGTTCAAGTCGAGATCACAGCCCTCGAAATTCACGGACTTCAAGTCCGACGACACCGCTTGCTTTATCTGCGTGAGATTCTGAGCGATCGCCGACAGTAATTCCACTCTTAATCCGTGGAAGCTCTCGAAACAAATCCACGCTCCGCAGGAGATCATCCCTTTGAATATCTGTATTACGCAATTGTAAGAAATGTCATTGTTGCAGTTGACGGCGTAAAACGGCTTCGCGAGAGCCCTCGTCAAACTTTTGATCGTCTCCGTTTTCCCGCTGCCTGTCGGGCCCGCGACGCCGCTGTACAAATGATAGCGATAAGCTTGCAATATGGTGCGAAAGCATCTGTCGGTTAACGGCGTGTTAACGATATTCTGTTGGTAATAATTGTATTCGTATCCGTATTCAATCGTTGCGTCGAACACCGATATTTCGACAGTCTCGGCGCTGCAGTAATATTTCAGCTGTGCGATCCACTCGAAATCTGTTCGTTCAGTAATATTTCTTTCCAGCAGCAGCTTTATGACTTCTTTATGAGCGGACATAATAATGATGAGTGACATCAGCAGATTTCGGCGTCTTCGCGCTAATTTCTCTTTCAATTCATCGATTATCGATGTTGTCCAATCGGCGTATGTCGCGAGTAAAGAGTTTAACATTTCGGTGTTCGGCGGCGCGAGACATTTTTCCACCGAAGAGGTCCAATGAAGCTGTAAACCGCAAAAGATCGCCATGCTTGGAAAATTATCGACGGGAAAACACGTCGAATTTTCGGTAATAAGAGGATGATATCGCAGAATATTCTCGCAAACCGCATCTCTCATTTCTCTTTCGAGTTGAATCAACCATTGCTCTTCGCACTTATTGCTAGAATCGATAAGTATGTCGTTATTTAGACGCAAGATTTCTCCATAATGTCCAATGACGCCTCCGATGTAGTTCGATTTGTTAAATTTCAATCGTTCCACACCAGCGAAACATTTCTTCACGATCGCGCACAGTTTTGTCGTATTGGTCGATTCGAACAGTATTTGCTGAATTTCCGAATCCAGAAGGAAGAAGAATCTCGTGAAGGATGATCTTTTAGCATCTAAATAATTCCTCACATCTCTGCTCGCTCTCTCCAGCTTCTCGTTAACTTCATTTAAGACCTGCAACAGGTTCGACGATCTCTTGATTTCCTCGAAGCTCGGATTTTCCTCGAATCTCTCGCTAATATCTCGCAGAGTTCTCGTCGCTTCCAGATACAACGAGGTTTCCTGCTTCAGACGCGTTTCTATCCCCGGATAAGAGAATATTGACTGCAGACGGTGTTTGCGCGACTGTACGCGTGCCCATTGATCGAGGATCTGCTGAATTCTCGTGAGCACAGCGAAGAGCTCGATCACGTCCGACAGTATCGGCTTCACGAAGTGCGACGCTCTCATCTCCTCGATTTTAATCACGTGCTCCCTGAGAAGTTCCTCGATGTCGTTTACGTGTTTGAAGGCCACCACGCCGGTTTCAGCGTCGCTCGACATCTCGAACGACATCGGTTCCCACTCTCGCACCATCTCAGCCAGTTCTCGCTGAAGATAGAGCTCTTTGTTCGCGCCCAAGCTTATCGCCTTGTACTTGTCGATGTTGTCCATCAGGTTCATGTCGATCATCTTCCTCAGAGTGGTTCCCGCGTTCGGCGTGAGATCGAAGTCGCAGATCGCGGACATCTCGTTCCAGTGGCGCGCCTCCAGCGCCGGGTTGCACATGCAAACCGCGAGCGGCAGGTAAGCTTTAAATTCGTTAATGTCATTCAGCGCCTGCCAGCACAGCTTCAGCGGCGCGGGCTGCTGCATCGGATCGGGATCGTCGGCGATGCCGGAGAACTTGTAGGACTTGTTCGCCGTCGCGTCCATTTTGATCCGCGACTTCATCGTTCTGCTCACCTCCGTGATCTCGTCCAAGTAATTCACGGTCTTCTTCTCGATCACAGCGGCGTCCAGCCACTCGAACGGGCCGTTCAGCCACACGGAGTTGTCCTTCCGCCACTGATGAACGGTCCGTATGAGCGCGTAGAACGGCACGATCGTCTCCCTCAGCTCGATTATTTTTGGAAACTCCGTTTCCGGAAACCTGAACAGCCTCTCCTCCGAATTGATAACTTCCATCTCGTCGTCCATAAATTTGTATCTTTTTATCAGATCCTTGTAATGCTCCGTGTACTCTCCGATCCTGCTTATATCGTCCATGTCGTCCAGGATGATCAGTTGCGGGAACATCGCGTCGACTTCCGAGTTCAGCGCATTTATGCGCCGCTGAAGATCTTCCTCCAGCTCGCTCTTCATCGCCTCGCACAGCGTGTTGTTCTGCGCGAACACCGGCTGAATGTCGTGCAGCCAATTCATAGTGGCTCTGTTTAAGTCGACATGCTCGTCCGTGAACACGGTGATCTCCAACAATTTGTTCAGCATGTAGACCGACTGCCGTATCCTCTCCTCCTCCTCCTTCATCAACACTTTCGAGGCTTGCGACATGTATTCGGCTAACTGTATCAAGGACTTCGCGTCCCTCGGGATGTCCAGCGCCGTGGATTTCAGATCTTCGAAGTCCGAGCAGATCGAGCGATTGTAGTCCCGATGATACATCACGAGCTTCGCCGTCAGGGTGTCTATAACGTCGCAGCAGATCTGCCTCAGAGACTCCTTGGCGCCGTTCTGCTCCAATTTTCCCACGCTGTAATACAGATTGGAAAGCATGGAGTTCGCTTTGCCGAGGTACTCGCTGTACCTGCGTATGTGCGCGAGATACGCGTCGAAATCCGGTCGTTTCGACGCCAGAGACGATATCTGGCGCCTGCTGCTCGATTTGCAGACGCCGCTGAATTCCGCGGAGACGAACGCCACGTGATCGTTGACGGGTCGAAACAGAGCGTCCAGTATCTCCTGCAAATCGCGGTGAGACTTTTCGAGGAACCAGTCGGGAGGCGCGATTTTTATGTACCTCTCCGTCGCTCTGACATCCAGCCACTCCTCCAACGGCATCAAGTCCCGCGCGATGTTCTCGATGTTTTCGATAATGTTGTGATACGTCGAAAATACCTTCTCTACGTCCGGTTCGGTCACGAGCCGATCACCTTTGCATATCAGCTGAAACTCGATCTGCGGACAGAAACGGCCGTCTCTCATGATATCTATCACATGATCGATCGATCTCATCATCACGTTGAGAATCTGCTGAACGAACACGTTCGTGAGGCATCGCATGAGCTGTGACAGGCGTTTCGCGGAGAGGCTGTGCAGCATCTTCGAGCTCTGCACGGCTTTGCACGTCTCCGTGTAAAACTGATTGGTTATCACTAAAGCGCTTGTTTTGATATCCTTTAGGATGGTGTCTTGAAAGCCGTGCAATGTTAACATTCCGAGCTTATGATAACGCCTGAAATCACAGATCACCGCGGGAAGAATACGATGTGCTGTGTTCATAACGTGTCGGATTATCGGATAGGAAAGGAAATATCTTTTGGCGAATGAATCGCGGCGTTTCGTGAATATCGCACTGTCATACGTTATTTTTTCGAAAATGTGCTCCGAGCCAGCTGACACTTCGCATTCTTCGCAAGCAACATGTTCTCTCTTATATATTTTGCAGGATAATATGGATTTCAGTATAAAGTCCTTCATATTTTCAATGTACATATTTTTCACCTCGGTCATCACTGAGTTTATGAAAGAGGAATGCTTTTGCCTGTCTCTGCGAGGTATTAAATTCAATATGTTTCTTTCCCACTCCGTCGAAAATTCCGAGACACAAATATCTTTTATGTAATCTTTCATTTTGATTTGCTTTAATGCACTGGAATGTGAATAATCTGATAGCGCAACGGTTGATTCCATAATATTACAATCTACAAACATGTTTTTGTTATGTGCACTTCTACTGTTATCACTGTTTGTCATTCTGTAAATTCGTTTTTAATCGATTATTTTATAATATTTTTATAGAATATTGTTGCGCAAGTTTGCCTGCAATTGTAGATTAATAATAAAGACATAAAACATGCACAATTATAAATTATTAATTCACTTTCTTCTGTTTCTAAGGACGAGCTCACGGAACTAAGTTCCCTAGAAACCACGTGTGTTTTATCAATACAACGTACTAGTATCAATTGTGCGCGTGAGTCTTAACATGATTTTTTGTTAAAATTGAGAAATTTACATTTTTAAAATAATGCAGAGAATTGAAATTGTGTATTTAATTATTATGAGCTGCACAATTTTTTCGATTTTATGGAAAAATATGCTCTAAAAAGTAGAATACATTTTATATATGTAATGTATTACTAATCAATTATGGTAAAATAATTAATATTGAGTAATATTAATATCATTAATATTAATAATTATATTGTGTATTTTTACAAAACAGTTTAAAAAAGAAAGGTATGGAGGGAGATTAACTTGTTGCGTGCATTATAATTTTTTAAACGAGATGTTTGTGTTACATTATATATTTGTACGACACATACTACATATTAAAATACATACTACATATTAATATTTAAATTTAATTACACATAATAAAATAGACAAAAATTAAAACTAATTAAAATTAATAATATTTTTAAATACTTATATTTCTATTGATTAAAGAAGACGGACAACATTTATCAGTGGATATTACATTGTCAATATTTTTAAATCGTGAGAGATATATTTATTATACAATATGTGTATGTATATCTTGCTATATTTCCGCATAACTAATTAAGTCGTGCAATTAAATAAAGTTAATATATAGGATTATTCATTTTTGATGTCGATCTAAAATATCTTGAAAAAAAATTGCATTATTTAAAAGATATTTTATAGAAAAGTTTAATTTTAGAGAAGCGATAAAATAGTAATCTTGATCTGATGTTAGGTGGTTTCGCCGAACTGAGTTGTCATAATTCCTTTATCTTTGGTACATTAGATAAATTCTTTATTCTCGATTATATAATTGTGCTTAGTTAATTGTTCTGGTGTACGGATGATGTCACCGTTTAATTTATGTAATTTCTGTAAGATTCTGCAAGTTTCTCGATTTTTCCTCTGACTTCTTATCGCACATGAATATTTTAATGAAATCGGCTGGCGGTGTAGTGCTTGCAGGTGTCTCAGGAAACGCAATCGAATCAATATCTTTTTTATTTTCGATTGGTTGAATGTAGAATTGATGAGTCTCAAAAATCTTTTTTTCGACATTGCTGGTTTTCGGCAGTCTGCGCTGATGCGGTAACGCGTATCTTAATTTATCCCAAAACCAAGGATCTCCCCATTTAATGTACGTGTTCATATTTATGTACGCTTTTAACTCTGGATCCAAATTATCGATGGGTCCGACATCTTGATACAAAATCAGTATGACTCTTGCTCGACCATCTTTCAACGCTTGACAATGCGCGGTCCGAAATTCCATTTTTCCCCAGATGCTCTTCAAAAAATTTGGCGACAGCACCACTATTGTTCGTCTAGAGTTTACCACGGATCTAACAATATTATCCGGTATCCATATGCCCGCTATCCAATCTCGATAATGATGACACAATTTGAACGGCGTCGGACCACTTTCTAGCTTCGGTACCAATTCCTCCATTACAAAATTGTCATCCTCATGTGAAAAACTTACGAATGCGTCATACAATTTGTTTTTATCCAATTCGTCTTCTGTTACAAACCATAAACACCACCCATGCGCGAATAACCATATTTTAATCTGTTCTTCGTATTTGTAATAAAGCAGTCCAAAAATACCGATAATTAATCCGAGAAGAGCGATTGCTACACTGACACAGATCATCGCCGTTATATCAAACGTTGTTGGACAAAAATTGTTATATTCTAATCTAGATGCATTCTTTTCATGACATATTACTTTAGACGTTTCGATTGTTCCGAGGTTTGAATGTATAAAATCATAAAAACGTTTAGCATTACAATCGCATTTCCATGGATTTTCATGTAATGTCAAGTGAGTTAAGCTTGAGTTATCCCAAAAGTCCAGCACTTCAGAATCTATTTTGAATAAATTGTTATTGTGTAGTTCCAAAACCTGAAACATATAATTCGATTTCAGATTTTAATTGTAAAGTTTAACATTTTTTATAATAGATTAATTTTTAAGATTAACCATTTTTTCCAATTTTATATCTACCATACATATGTATATATTTTATATATTATTACACATTGATTTTGCAAGTAGTATAAATTTTGGAGAAAACCGATAGTATTTTAAACTGAAATACAACCTTTTAATATCTCGACATAAGGAACACTGAACTTACACCACTTTCAAAATAAACGGACTATTTAAAAAAAATTCAAAATCAATCAGTAAATTTTGTTAACTAAACATCTTGTACTTGTTTTTAAATTATACTAGTGATGAGTGATATTTTCATGCTTATTATACTTTTATTATTTTGTAACTGTTATCGAAAGCTCACTGTTATAACTGGTTATCATTTTCTCTAATACCAGTTATTTTATAACTTTGTACGTATTTTATTCGTCTTTTCGGAATGTAATCTAAAAAACTTTTTCTAGGAATTCCCTATCCGATATCTAATCGACACATTTAACAAATTTATGACAGATAAAAGGTTTGTTTGTGTCACATGCCCCACCATGTTCTAATATGCTTTAATCTATAGTTTATATATGCATTATAAAGAAACCAGCTAATTATACTTTTAACATATAGAACGTAATAATGTGACGTCTTTTATATTAAATATAGTAAGTTAGTTTCTCTATACATTATATTATTCTGCAAATTTATTTTAATAATAATCGTATCAAATAATTGTTATAAAATAACTGTTTGAATGATCAGTTATTTGTGGGTAACGACAACCGTCGTAACCGTTATAGAAAAATAACTATTTAGCTCCTCGCTAAATTATACGTTCTGACAGTTTCTTTCAACTTTTTTTTATATAAATTATTCTGCGAATAAGATATAGTAAAATTACTCACCTCTATTGTTGTCGATAATCCATTTAGGGTAATTTGAGATAGGTTGTTGTGAGATAAAATGAGTTTCTTTACTGATCTGAGTTCCATTGTTTTCAAATCCGGCATTTGCGTTAACTGATTATTCGAGAAATCCAGCTGGAGTTGCAAATCTGTGTTGATTGATTTTGTAAATCTTTGAATCGTGGAAATGTTAGGCTCCTTTATATCATTCGGAACCTTCGTTAAGTTTCTATGAGAACAGTTAAATGTGAAAGTTTTATCAGAGGGCTTCAAAATGCAATTGCACTCTTCGGGGCACACAGTAATTGAATCTGTGTTTTTTATCGTACAGGTTAAATTTTTAGAATATTTCTGCGGTAATAAGTCATTGATGCTTTTGTTCTTCAACTCTTCTGGACTCTGACAAGTCAAATGTCCTACTTCTATCTTGAAATAAGTTTGGACGTTAGGCGTTTCGTATTCCAAGTAACGTAGAAAATCATAGATATCGCAATCGCAACTTAATGGATTATTGTCCACTTTTATTATTATTACGTTATGATTATGTTCCTGGTTTATCGCGATATCTTTGACGTCGTGTAAGAAAATATGCTTTATATTATTATGAGTCAAGTCCACTATAATGTCCGGCGCAAACGTCAAATTTCTTGCCTGAAATTAAAAAAAAGAATCATCAGATATTTATCATTCTTAAATATGATTCTTTATCTATAGATTCTAATATCTATAAATATATTCTTTAATAAGAGTGAGATATATCACTTTAAGTGATGCTTTCTCAAATACTTACTTCTATAGAAGTTATGTTGTTATAGCTGAGATCTATTTTCTCAAGTTTAAATTCCGTACACCAATCGTCAAATATTTGTGAAATGCTATTGTTTGCTAAATATAATTCTTTCAGCGAATGACAATTGTAGAAAGGCGACAACCATCCGATTTCTTGAACGCGCATATTAGATTGTAATGTAAGATGGTTGTTAGACAAATAAACAATCTCCAAACTCTCTAATGAACCGAAACTGTTATCGGAAATAGTTCTTAGGTGATTTTGTTCCATATATAATTCTTTCAAGCTCTGTAATCCATTAAATAGTTGTCTGAAATATAAAATAGATTTCTATATCAATAAAATTTTCAAACATATAAGCAATTATTATACATCATATAATAACAGCGATTTAAACATACCTAGAAATAGAAGTAATGTTATTATCTGACAAATTTAGTATTTCTAATTGATTAGTACTTTGGAAAATATTATCAGACAAATTTTGTAGATTATTAGAATTTAATTCCAATTCTGTTAAATTGGTTAAATCCTGGAATATATTCTCGGGCAAAGAATGGAGGTAATTATTATTCAGTTTAATCGTCTTCAGCGAATATGAATTCCGAAAGAGATCTTCCGGTAGTGTAATCAGTCCATTCTTCTCTAGCATCAACTCTTTAAGTTCTTTTAAATTGCTAAAAAATCCTTCCGGTAAGATCAAATTTTGTCTACTTTTGGACAATCTGACTTTGTTTAGTTTTGTATTGGTCTGTAACAAGTTTCTTGGCAACGTGGTAAAATTATTTTTACATAAAGCAACTTCTTCAAGATTTTCTAGTTTTGCGAATATGCCATCCGTTAAGTTGACTAAATGATTCGAGTTAAGATCGAGTGCTTTCAGAGTGACGAGTTGATCAAAAATTCCCGGTTGAAGCTCGGTTAAATAATTGCTGCATAGATTAAGGTATTTCAAATTTTTCAATCGATCAAAAATTTCTGGTTGAAGCTCGGTTAAATGATTGTTACATAGACTAAGATATATTAAATTTTCCAGTTGATCGAATGTGCCTGGTTCTATCACTTTCAAATTGTTGTTGTTTAAATAGAGCTTCTTTAATTGAGAGTTATGATTGAAACATTCGGTGACTAGATGTAACTTATTGTATGACAAATTGAGTTCAGTCAAGTTTTTCAAATCGGCTAACAGATCTTTGTCCATATAATCCATGTTGGTATGCAATAGAACTAGATATTTCACATTTTTAAAATTGTCGAGATGATGCTTTGTGAAGGTAAAATTCAAATTCTCTGTGGATAAAAAAACGAATTTCTCCACGCCTGTAACTCCTAGTATACGTGCAATTTCACTCAAACTAGTATTGCTGGGTAAATCGCACTTGTTAAATTGTATCTTTTCATATTTTATTGAAGATGCATTTTTCGGAAGGAAATCTGACCATTCCGCTGCGTTGTTACAATTAATCTGTGAAAGAAAAGATTCGTTGATATAAACTTGATTTAATTAAGAAGTTAACAGAAAAAAAACTAACATTTTTGATTTTAAAACTTTTTCAATGGATTTAATGCAAATTTATGGCTTGAAATAAAACTTGAAATAAATAATTACAAGTACAACGTTGAAAAAGTTTCAACGTTTCACTTATGCGTTTGCTTTTTAAGCAATGATGGAATAGAAAATATTCTTAGAAAATATTTTGCGCTTTGTGAAATATTATTGAATACCAAACAATGTTGTAATAATGAAAAATTTGATGTCTCTGTTTTATAACATTGATTTATCAGAACAATCGATTTGTTCTCTAATTAAATTTATTAATTTTTTTAACTCTATGGTTTGCAATCTAATTTTTCATGTTGTAATATTAAATATATACAAGTATTTAAATTTGCAAAATTATATATGTGTCTATGTAGATAAATGTGAAACGCGCTTATGATTTAATAATAAGTACTTACTATTATGGATTCATTTGCTTTCATTGTGATTTTAATACAATTATTTTTCGTTGAACATTTTACTTCATTGTATTCCCTTTCATATGTATATTTTTGCCAATAGCATGTTTCGCTTGTCGGATATAAAGCGGAAATACTTGCTATGGTAAAGGACAGTATCACAATAGATATCTCACAATATCTGCTGGTCATTTTCCAAGATATTATAATTCTTTTCGTTTGATTATCACTTTAACAAACAGAAAAAACGTATTTTTATCGCTTTATTACATTGCATACATGTACTTATTTTTAAGACGCATTTCTTTTTAAGTTGCGTCAAAAACACTACCGCAAAAGTCGGAAGTATAGTGGATTAGATAAAACATAATATCCTTCTTTAATAGTAATCTTGTTACATGTCTAAGGTGCTACATATTGTATATCACATAAAATATAAGCTATATTCATTATTAATGAGACTCGAATTTATAATATGTGGACTGACGATCCTTGACGATCCTGTGGGAACAAATATTTACGTCATATACCATATATGTATAGCAGGATCTAATTTAGCTACATTATAAACTGTGCTATAAACAAGGTAGGAAAATCGTTACACGCTGTTTACTGCATAAAAAAATACATGATATAATATTACATACACGAATAACGATTTTTATTCTCTTTTTTGTATTTTTAAATATTAGGGTAAAAAAACTGTGTTGAGAAGAACAAGAATCGAGTAATTGATTTCCTGGATTAAATCGATATATCGAAAAATAAATATAAAGCCACAAACAATAGTTACTTCACGATTGTAGAACCCACGTGCTTTTTTTAAACGAAAATGCTAATAAAAGCAGACGCGAGTGTTTTATTAAATTCTTCATAAAAGACTAACTGTCTCAATGAGAGATAGTATCTATTCCAATTCATGACAATGACTTTCAATGGCGTTTACTTACCAGTTGAATGATAGATGTATGTTGCGATTATTTCTAAGTCTCGTTTCTCGCTCTTATCTGAATTTTATCCGCTTTCGGAAGATAACGACTTTATTTGTTTAAAATAATAATATCAATTTTAGCGACTCGTATAACAACGTATACACAGTATTAACATTTCACAATATTTCAGGATTTTTATTGCTTTGTGTCATTTAAAAAAGCTTGGACTAAACATATAGCCATATAATTCAACGTGCTCGTCTAATTTGTAAAACTATAGCGTAAAACTATCACTCGCATTTCGAAAGAATATCAACCGTCAACCGCAGTTATCCGCTACTGACTGAAGCTTGGGTTTTTTGTCCCTGATGAAACTACTACAATGGCATGGCGACCATCATATAGACTATGCCTAACCGCAAACTTTATCTTTCTTCCTTTCTTGCCTTTTCCCTTTTTCGCTCGTTTTTTATTTATATTTCTCTCATTCATTTTTTTCAAATATTTTATAAATATTATATATATAAAATATATATATAATTATATATATATTATATATATATATATATAATTATTATATATATATAATATATAATATATAATATTATATATATAATTAATAAT